AGATAATATCGAAGTACGGTTGATAGAAGTCTACTGGCGTTTTCGATGAGCTCCAAAAGAGAACAACGCACAGCGATCCGTATCCAACAGCCAGACGTTAACGAGTCGATCGATAACAACAATGTAGACACAGATTTTTATTGCGATCTAAAAGTAAAAAATAAAATCATGAAACACAAAGATCCAAGTGGCCTAATAACAAAAAATTCGTACTGTACCTTTTTGGTGAGGGGAGGACGGTGTTAACGAAAATCAACAGCGCAGAACGTTCAATACGCCGTGGGTACGAAAGAATTGAAAACCGTGAGATATCCCAGGGCCTGCACGGTCTGAAATTCATAAATCCCATAAATTAATACAGTCATTAATATTATGTAATCATCAAAAAAGTAAATATTTAATTATTGCACCATATGTGTACGACTGTTTAATTGTACAACAATCGTAAACGTTACAATACACAATTGGGATAGATCACCACGGAGACGTTCAAGAATGTGAATAAATAAATATACAAACAAAAATTAAAATAATTTACAAAACACATTAATTAATGTATAAACGTATAAAGATGAACTCTAATGTAGGAAAAGTGAATAACAAAGATTATTTTTTAAAAAATTACAAAAGTCAAATTAATTTATACTTCCATTACCACGATTATATCAATAATTTAAAAAAGAAAATCATTATTACCACAATTTAATAATTACAATATAAAAAAATAAACTTTACTTTAAGAAAAATCAGTAACGAATAATTTTTTTTTAAAGAAATTAAAACGAATTACCCTTGTAATAAATCCGTTATCCATTAGAACCCCGATTGGCCCACAGGCCGAGCCATAATTGAAGCATTCCTCAGGATACAACATACTCCTTCTAAAGATTACAAAATCAAATCAATTAATACTGCCTTTACCATAATATATGTAATATAATATAATATATTATAAATTAAACCGAATTAAATATATTATATAAAAAATAAATTTTTTTTTGACAAAAGAATTACCCGCGCATTAAATCTAAAACTATCAACAATCTCCAGCACGGTCATCTGAGCACAACAGTTATCATCTGAAAATTACAAAATCAAGAGATTTTTCTTCGAGATTCACGAGAATGTACAGTTAGTCTAATCAGACTGGTTTTATATTTTAAAAATATTTTTCTAATAGTGTTGATCACACTTGAAGGTTTGTAAGACGATGACAATTTAAGTGGAAATTTATTTCTTTTAGACCACATTCGATTATTTAATTAACTCACTGTATATATACATTCATAACAAATGTATTTATACATAAGGTAAACTATAATAAAATTAATGAATATTTTACGGAAACACTACTAATCACTAGACAGTAATAATAAAATGAATTTTAAAATTAAACTATAAATTACTTAATCAATTTTTTATGCAAAGAATTAAAATATTTTATTATTCATCAAGAGTATAATTGTGTTTCAAAATCATTTCAATTTTGGGTAAGTTGGGGCAAATTATTAATGAAATATTTGAAAGTCTACATATATATATATGCTTTAAATACAANTTACATATTACACACCAATAAAGAAATACAAATCAACCTAATGATTAACATATGCTAAAGAAATGGATTAAAATGCAAAAGGATGAACTCTATTTTAAATAAAGTCAATAGAAATAAATTTCTTTTAACAAATGAAAATGAATTACCGATGCAATAAATCCAATAACGATGACTGCCATGAATCTCTAGCTCAGTCGTTATCCTGGAACCACAATGGGGTAGCACAGTCTAAAAATTACAAAAACAAATTAAAATTTAATACAGCCATTACCATAATATATTATATAATCTACAATATTTTTATTGTAATTGCTGTGAAAAAATAATAGTAATAAAAAATGTATATACATTTTATAGACTGATGTAGTACATATTGCACACCAATAAATGAAATACAAATCAAACTAATGATTAATATAATATATATAAATTGAATAAAATGTAAAAAGATGAACTCTATTTTAAAAAAAGTCAATAGAAATAAATTTCTTTTAACAAATGAAAATGAATTACCGATGCAATAAATCCAATAATGATGACTGCCATGAATCTCTAGCTCAGTCTTTATCCTGGAACTACAATGGGGTAGCACAGTCTAAAAATTACAAAAACAAATTAAAATTTAATACAGCCATTACCATAATATATTATATAATCT